AGTACAACAACAAACTTAATCAAAAAAGCTTGCGACAAGAATGAAGTCTTATTGTTATTTTCCCACCAGTGACCTTTCCTTTTTGTTACTGACCTTTCTTTCTTGGAGACGACACTAACCCTTGTGCTTTTAAGTGTGGCAGACCAAAAAGAGGTCACGCTGTGCAGGTCTCATATTAGGTTTAATAAGGCCACATGAAACAACTGAAACTACAACATATCTAACAAACAGCAAGCAAATAAAGGTCTCACCTCCAACTCATTGAGCCTCTGAATGCGCGGTGTAAAATGCAGTCTGTCCACATCACAGGCAAATGGTGGCTGCCATCCCTAACATAAAGACAGAAAAGTGTTAAGCTTTTGCCATTTGCCACAAAATAAACTCGTCTAATAGACGATCTTTCTTTGTGGTTAAAAGCTTTTGACAAGCATGTGTGCTTTTCATTATGCAACCTTTTGAACAGAAAAATTGTATAACAATGTTGATAAAAGGTTTAAATGAACATAGTTATGATCAAAATACTGTTTAAAATATAAGCAAAGATTGATTTGTTTTCAAAAGATACTGATTTGCTTCCCACTAAATCACAATCACTATACATCATGAGGTAGATTATATCCAACAATTGATTATGGAGTATTAACATTTAAATTGAAAGTTCTACATGCTAAACTATCATTCATAACTGCACATTTGCAATATAGCTTAAAAAGATGAACACAGATGACAACAAAACGTCTTTATCTTTCCACTGAGGCCGTTTAAGGGTGTTAACAATTGTGTACAACAAAGCAAATGTTCATATATACATTACATACACACAAACACACGTATGTATAGACGGCCAGAAAATAACTGTATAGAGGTTTTAAACGCGAAGAAAGCAGAATTTCTGTTTTTCGCTTGCGTTGTTATTTACAGCAAATTTCAGTTTCAATGGCCAAATGCAAATACACAACTCGCACAACATGGAGGACAACGACGAACAGCAATTACGCCACCTCAAACTTCAGCAATATGTTTAACATATTTATCTCCCAAATAAAACTTAAACCTTCAATTATTTAGAAAACGACATAAATGAGTTGACAACCGGATTCGCTTTACATTATTTGGTATCAAAAAAGGCCATAGTTGGTCAATACAACATTTCCGTAGCACTGAATAAACATTACAAAATGTATTTTATCGACTTGTGCATAATAAACAAACACCATACACCATCGACCACCATCAGACAACGAAGCAAAAGGTTATATTTTAAACCAAATGCTTTGACGTTCAGGTGAGAATAATAATAGGGAAGTTGCATGGTAGGAAAACGGACACCGGTAGTGTATAATATCCGCAAAATATCCAAAACTACATGTGAAACAAAGTTACATAATACTTGTCCAGGGCTGGGAGTTGAACTATCGGGGATTGTTCTTTTTTTGGGTGGATACATTCTAGCCAACATTGATTGTGGAAGACAATAACAATCACCACATTCCGTCCCCAAACATTTTCCAGCAGCCTAACATTAACTGAAAGTATTAGTAAATATTCATTCGTGACACTCAAAAGATAGATTATGATTTAACTCTGCTAAGAATAAAGTAAGTGGTGTTATTGTGGAGTAAACCACACGCGAGCATTCACGCATAGCTAGTAGCTGCGCGCACACACGCACACGCCGTTACGAACGTTCGCAATGGCTGGAGCCGCAATCCGCCATGTTGCAAAGACCTGTCTTTAGAAAAAGTGTTTCGGGATCTGCGATTTACGAGTGAAAAGGGCGACCGAACGCAGTTGTGCACTTGACAGTTCTGTTATATGTCGAAGAAACTTACCGGGGGCGGTCGGATCTTGCAGATGCCAGTGTTTTCTGCAATTGGACGTATTTTGTTGATGAACCCAAAAGGGTCTGCAAATTCCTCCCAACTGGGCTCAAAGACAGGGCACTCCGGTGGTGGAATAAACTCGTTGGGTCGTGAATGGGTCATTCTGGGGAACTTGATCCAAACGATGACATGTAGAAACTGCAGTAAACTGTTTGAAGTTGAAGTAAATGTTTTAATTAGTCTCGAAAAGATGCCATATTAAAGAATGATTACACCTGAACTCCGACAATTAACATCCTCATCCACTTTGGGAAACGTACACACAGACCGAGTGCCGACGTTAGTGCTTATTCTTCATCCGCTTTCAAAAGTAGATACGCTGGGGTTCCTTTCTCCACCCTGCGTTTTCACTAATGTAGATTTTAACATAGTTTAAAAAATGTAAAATGCACACTAAGATTCTTCAATGCCATTGGATGTGGGGGGAAAGGCCTTATACATTAAATCAGCAGTTACGTAACCACCAATAATAACAAAGCTTTTGTTCTATCAACAATTATCATCATGAATCTCTAATAGAAATAAATAATTTATTACACAAAACAAAATATACAACATATCAAATCATAGCTGTCAAACCTCACCCATACTATACTCTCAAACCGTGTGCTTTTACCCTTTGCTTTCTTTATCTATTCACAAAGCCATGTCTAAACATATTAAGTGGTAGTCAGTTTCTACTTTTATAAAACCTGTGGTCAAAAACAAAGGTTTAATACATAAACGTGACAAACCCACTCATCACACTTTTGTAAAATGATGCGGTTTAACATCTCCCCCAAAGTGCTTCAGAAGATAGAAATAGGTTGCCTTTGAATTAGAGAAGTGACTTGCGCGGATGGATACATACAGCTTCATTTTTACCAGGACTACTTCTTTAAATGGACTCTTTCAAGTTACCCACTCGGAAGTAACAGATGTTGTTCAGGGACGACGAATTTTGTCGCTCTCCATCCTATCGACAGCTACATTCTCAAATTTACCGCTGGCACGAGCTCACACCGTTCAAACAGCGCATCAAACCCGTCTGAATGTGTAACCCGTGGGCATTTGCATCGTCACATGACCCGATTTCGGAATGCAGGATCCATCAGCGGAAAATGACATATTGTGCCAAGACAGAAAGTATCTCACCGTACTGGCGTCGCGCTCGACTTTTGTCTTTACATATCTCGGTGCAGAGGGTTCATCAGCATCCACCGTCGTATTCCATGCGAGCAATATCTACGAGCACGTACCACACGTCAACTCGGAACTGTCGCCCCCTATAACAGGACAGCGATCCCCGGTGCCCTGATCCGCCTCCCGCAGGAAGCAGTCCGAGCAAAGGCACTGAGGTGTGGCAGCGCTAGTCTGACCTGTTAGCGACAGTATCGACGACATTTAACAAAATTAATAAAGCATGTTTTTGCTTATTTGACTTCAAAACATTTGACCGCATGTGCTGAATTGTTTCCATTGAGTCGCTTTAATGTGTTAATGTCAGCATGAATCTATAGCATGCTAATAGTTTTAATTCAAACCAAAACATCACTCAGGGTTATTAATAAGTTTAGCATATATTTTTGTTATTCTTTTTATATTGATTTTAAATAAAATCTTATTTAACCTCGTCACATCAAGTTTGATTTAATGCAGCACAACAGTGTAATGATCTAATAGTAAGCAGTAATATCTGTATGTAATGTCCGCATCAAGATTTGATTTTACAAAGATATGATCTTATTGTATAGCTTAAGTTGATACTATCTATACTTTTTAAAATATAATTGTTTTGTCTATTTTACTGTAATTTGCCATAACAAAAATAATAAAAATAAAACATTTTAACATTTCATTTAACATTTTCAATAAAAACATTTATAGAAAAAAAAACAAGTCAGTTTTCATCATCAATTGTCTTAACAGATATCTCTGCTAAAATTAAATATACTTTTTTACTGATCTGTATAAATTAACCTTTATAAAAAGTATTCACACTAGGTTTTTATTTGTTTTAAATTATTATTACATATTGCTGACAAATGCATTAAACCAGCGGCAAAAGTGCACTGTGATCCTAAAATGTTCTTAATCTTTTAATATTATCAAATGATTATTGTTATGAATGTGCATTTAGTGCATTTAATGTCTATTGTGAATCATGGTAGAAATGTAAAATGATTAAAGGATACTTTATATTGTACTAAAACAAAGGAAGAAATTTTAAACTTAGATTGTTTGAATGTTTGATCACTATATTTTGTAATATTGCATATGTGTATATCTTACAAAGTATAAGAATAGCATATTTATGGGTTTTTCTTAACAGCACCCATTCAGAGCATTAAAGAAACACTTATTTTGAGAACAGCTAAGAGTTACATTTTATTCAATTATACTTTATACTTTTGTCGGATCTGTGTGAATTAACCTATATACAATAAATAATCACACTACATTTGTATACATTTTTAAGTATTACAAACATATCGCTGACAAATGCATAAACCAGTGGCAAAAGTGCATGTGATCCTAAAATCTTCATCTTTTAATGTTATCAAATGATTTTTGTTATACATATGCCTGATAAGCTATTTTCACTACACTAAATGGCATTTGTAAATCATGATCAAATGTAACACAAACAAATTTCTTTAAAAAGTGGCGATGTTTTATAACTTACTTTAACTCTCTTAATGTCTTGCCTTCTATTTAATAAATGCACTCAACTTCCTTTTTAATTTATTTATTTTGTAATAATTTAAAGTTTGTTTGTTTCTAACTATTACTATTTTATTCGGTTTAATTGTAAATAATTACTTTCAACATAGACAATGCATCTGAACATTTGCCTGTGATTGCTGAATGTTTGCATTCAGTTTGTTGTAATTTTCTGTACACTTTTATTACTCTTGTTTACATTTTTCTTTTCCCCTTATTATTATTATAATTATTTTTTTGTTGTATTTTTTCCTTTTTATTATAATTTTTTCTCCTTTTCTTTTGTAAAAAAAAGCAACAAGAAAGATAATGATATGTAACTTTTGCAATAAATTCTTTTACAAAAAATCTTAAAATATATCTATTAAATCTATGCTTTATTTTGTGCTAAAATAAAGGAAGAAATCTGAAATGTTTTATTCTTAGATTGTTTTAATGTTTGATGACTATATTTTGTAATATTGCAAGTGTGTATATCTAACAAAGTATAAAGAATAGCATTTTTTTTTCTTTACACCATCACACACTCTGATACACTTATTTTGAGAACAGCTAAGAGTTATATTTTATTCATTTTTCAGTCTTTTATTTTACAAAACTCAATAATGTTCAAGAATACATTTTAACTAACATTGACGTTTCCTTTTCAAACAAACAAACAAAACATGGCTGAAGAAGTATGAAAAGTAATAGAGAGATAAGAGGTATGGAAAAGACCTTGTGATTAGGAATGTTTATAAGAAATGTCTCCATTTATCTATGGCAGACCTTTATGAAAGACAAGTACAGTTGAACATGTTAACATAGTTTGGTGAGAACAAAAAACCCTAAAAACATCACATGTATCTGAACTCACCAAAAAGAACTAAATCAGGACTTGCATTAAAAAAGACATTTAAGTTATATAATCAAATAGCATACAATTTTCCGTACAGTGCCTTCAGTGAGTGCTCTATTCATGGTTCACCCTGTCCAATGCCACATAGAAACTCTTCTTATCATCTAAGCAATGCCAACCGATAGGTCCGATCTCGCAATCTGCACAAATAAGATACTTGACTTTGCCTACATCTTTTGTGAAGCCCACATTCTCAAATGTGTACATGTCATCAACCAGCCAGTGAGCCATTAAGGTGTCCCCATCCAACGTCCCGTCTGACTGACCAATGGAAGTTTTCTTTCTCATCGAAGGAAGAAACAGCTGGAAAATGAAAAGAAAACTGTCAGTCTTGAAATATCATAATCATCACTTTAGATAGCTCATTTTACATGACAGGTTAGTGGTGTAACAACAGTTCATGACCATAACTCTGGAGATTACTTATATAGTTTAAATTACATCGAATCATGTAATGTAACAGGCATTATACCTGTATTTTAAATATCTAAAGCCAATTTATTTTGAAAGTTACCTCTTTTTCTGCAAAGACTGCCATGCCTGGACAGAGCACTTTGGATCCACATCTCTGGCACAAAACAGCTTTGACATTTTTGCCATCTTCTGACACGAGAGAGGGGTCTACGGGTCCCTCGGGAGAGGAGGTCGGTTTACTGTCATCCATGTTAGTAAGACACTGTATGGAAATTGAAATCAATACCTCAATTGAACATACATTAATTGAATACACACAGTTTATCAAATCAGCCAATACAGCATCATTCTATTTGGCTAGCAGGCTACTAGAAAGAAAGAATACTCGCCTCTGGGTCAGACCATGAAGTAAACTGATCCTTAATACAGACGTATTACCCAAATAAAGTCTACAAAACGTTAAGTACTAATTTGGTAATTTGTGTTCATACACAATTATAAACATAAGTTGGAAAAACTAGCGGACAAGTGTTTGCTACTGCTAATATTGGCGCAACTGCTAAAGCAGACCGGATCAACGCAAGATACGGACTTTACGTTCCGCTCAGAATAACACAAGACTCCATTTTCAAACTCTAGCGTTAGTTGTTTTCACGATTCACACGTATTATTGAATATCTTTTAATCGTTTGTGTAGATGTAATTAGTGAATAATACCCTGCTGCAAGGTCTATAAACATACCAGTCCGTAATTTCGGGAAATTAGTCTTACATTTGGACTGAATATAGTCCAGTCCTATAAAGTTAGATTAGCGGCTTTCAAAATTAATTTTAGCAAGTTTACAGTGCTGACCTTAAATTCTCCCTTAAGGTAATTCATTCACATTCTTTTCGGCTGTGTCCCTTAATTAATCTGGGGTCACCATAGCGGAATAAACCGCCAACTCATCCACCATTTATTTATTTATTTATTTATTTATCTGGATCCCCATTAGCCACTACCAAGGTAGTGGCTATTCTTCCAGAGGTCCAAATGTTTGACAGCGCATGCCCTTTCACATGGAACCATCCCTGGGAAACATCCATACACACTCATACTCTATAGACAATTTAGCTTACCCAAATAACCTGCACAGCACACGGAGGAAACCCACGCGAACATGGAGAGAACAGGCAAACTCCACACACAAACGCCGTCTGACCCAGCCGAGGCTCGAACCAGCGACCTACTGCGACAGCACCATCTACTGCACCATCGCGTTGCCCCTTACGAAAATTGATTATTGATTTATTATAAAGTGTAGAAGGCTTTGGCACACTGATTAGGCTACCATGTATAACCAGTTTTACGACAAATACCATGATTAAATTATGGTAAATGTAGCGAAACCTCAGTGAATTGTTAGTTGCTATGTACTTTGGTTTGATTTGCAGTGAATACAATTTTTGTGGTTGCAGGGAAAGATATATGCAAATCTATTGTTTCTGCAAGTCATATGAATGTAAAAAATACTTTAAAACACTTGGAAGACCACAAATTTGATCATTTTAATTAATAAAAAAATTGAAGCATTCATCAGCTGAATTAGCATAACTTTTCCCAATTGCTAATGTTTTTTCTTCTGTATTTCTTTTTTTTAAAGTTCCTAAATCAGGATAAATTTATAATAACCTGATGAAGAGAGAAGTAGTGCTACTTTAATTTAAAATAGTTCAAAATAAGAACTAATATTCCCCCAATGGAAAAATCAAACAGAAAAATCAATTGAAATACCTTAATGACAATCTTTTTTTTGACTTGATCCCTTTTTTATCAGAAGTCACCACAGCAGAATGAAAAGCCAACTTATCCAGCATGTGTTTTATGCAGCGGATGCTCTTCCAGCTACAACCCAATACTGCAAACCATCCATACACACACATACACTACGGCTAATTTAGCTTACTCATTTCACCAATAGCACATGTCTTTGGACTGTGGGGGAAACCAGAGCACTGGGAGAAAACCCACATGAACACGGGGAGACTTTATTGACATATTTATTTTAATTTAATTGAAAATACTTAATTTTGTTCAGTTTGCCTGCATCACAAGTAAATGTATCGTGATTCAAAGATATTCAGATATTTGAAGTGGAGAATAAAAAAGATGCACGTTTTTAACTGTGAATGTAACTTAAATATGTACAAATAAGATTTAAGTCCTTAAACCAAGAAAAGGAGAGGTAAACATTTTAAAACCTGTAATATCTACAAAAACCCTGAAAAATAAAAATGAACCTCCAGGGGTTACATCATATGGATCCTCCAAATAAAAGAAACAACACATGATCCATAAATATTTATTTAAACAGTTCACATTTCAAATAAATGCAAATGATTTACCACCTCTACACATAACACATGGATATATGGATTGTTTAGTCCGTGGTAAAGCCACATAGTTAGCTTATTCATTTAAAAAGGATCAAACACTACTTTTTTATTTTTATGTATTTTTTTTTTTACAAACAGCAGTCTGAGAAAGTTCAAAGATCAAACTCTTGTTATTAATGTAACATTTCGTAATAATAATAATAATAATAATAATAATAATAATAATTTGATTGGATTGCTTGCGACGTAAATTAACTAGCCATGTCTGAGACTAATGAAATTTACTACACTGTAGTTTTGGCCCATCTATTTTAAACCTATTTCCAGTGGCCTAAGGCACAGGAATATTTTTATACTTTACAGGAAAGTTTATACTTTACAGACTGCACAGATGGATCCATGCAGAGGCCTTAATAACAATGATATTCAATATCTGTGCTGTAAGGTGCAACAGTTGACCTGTTTACGTTATTATTTGACCTAGAAGTAAAGGTTAAAAATTGCGCAAGTGTTCAAAGCAGGTAGATTTTACCCTCAAACCCTTTATATGCCCTTTGTGCGTTAAATCGCTATGAACAAAACATCTCAAAGACATTGCTCTATTAATATTGGGGCAATACTTTGGGTGTGCATCGAATGATCTCAATTGTTCATTTACAATAAGAAACAAAATGCATTATATTATGAGGGCGCATCTCTACAGCTCAATGAAAGTGCTTTTCACTACAAAACAAACATGTCGGTTCAAACTTTCAGATTGTGCTCAAAATTAAAGTTTGATGATAACAAGGGTTATCATGTTCCAGCCATCGGATACCTTTGACCACACAAATGCTTTCTTCAAAAGAAACTAAATCATGTAACAGAATAATAATAATAAAAAAAAGTGAAATAATGAAAGTTAAGTTAAATCAATCAGGAAAAACTTAAAGGTAAATAAAACGAAGGAATGGGTATAAATGGGGTACTATTAATCCTAATTGAAACGAGCGAGTTTGACAAGTTCTCAGAGGAGAGTGTCATCAGTGCAGCCTCCTTCCAGACCATAGCGAAACTCCTGCAGGTTGGAAACCCCATAGAAATGAATGAAGGCCGCTGCCACCACTAGCACGTGAAATATCTGGTGCGAGTGAAACTGAGAGACAAAAAGACAAATCAGAAGGGTAATGGTTATAACACAGAACTCAGATCTGTTATTATGGAGCAAATTTAAAACCAAAGTTGCTTTTCCTTACCCAAATATCACACTTGCCCGGGAAGTAGCGCTCTGGGATTCGTGCAGCATACAATCCAGCGCCGGTGATGTACATGGCGCCCATTAAATAGAACCAGCCCATCTGTCCAACGGTAGTGGCCTTGACGAAACCCTCCTCGATGGTGAAGTGCATGGTGGGGACAATCCCGCTCAATCCAAGACCCATGAAAACTCCTAAGAATAACAACAATGTTATACGAGTGTGAGAATCAAGGTCTTGCACACACATTTAGCTCAACCTTACCCTGTGACTAAACAGGGCCCCAATGTGAGTGTGCATACCAATGTGCAAAATGGCAGATGTGGAAAAAAAAAATGACACTGTGGTTAAAACTCCTCTTCACATGCCAGGAGCTGCTAAAGTTACAGTAAACATGACTTTGTGGCACTCAAGCACAAATGTTCTAGATGAGCACAGTCCTAATAATGAAGGAGATATTTTCAAGGCAAGGTGTATGTGGAGCTGTATGATAAACACGACAGCAACTACGAAAATGTTGACAAGAGGGAGTTATTTGGTGCATTCCAAACGATATTGCCCTCCGACAGGTACTTCAGAGTGAAACAAAATCATGGCTGCCATATTGAAGTGTCATTCAAAACCGGCCACTTCGAAAGGGCTTTTGGAATGAAAGAGATTAAAAGATACAACTGATGGACACTTTGGAAAGTTCTCCTTTGAGCATTGAAGATGTTTTATGTCACACCCTGCACTCAATTCGGGAAGGCACTTCTCTATGCTCTAGTCTAGTCTCTTTACAGGGACCGTCCGAAGAGATTTGGGCATAGGGATGAACCCTTTAGATTGGAATCCACCATCATGTAGAGCATAGGTCTCAAACTCAATTCCTGGAGGGACACAGTTTTGCTACAACCCTGAACAAACACAGCTGATGCAACTAATGAAGGCGTTTATGACTATTAAACCATTGAGATTTATGATGTAGAGCAGGGGTGTCCAAAGTCGGTCCTGGAGGGCCGGTGTCCTGCTGATCTTAGCTCCAACTTGCTTCAACACACCTGCCTGGAAGTTTCTATTATACCTAGTAAAGCTGCGGTCACACTGGAGTCTGAGCATGCGATATTCTGTCATACTCGTCCAGGACCGAGTATGGACACTCCTGGGCTGTGTCCGAAACCGCATACTTCCATACTATAAAGTACGCTAAAATCAATCAGTATGCGAGCCAAGTAGCATGTCTGAATTCATAGAATTCAAAAATCAGTATGCGAGAAGTACCCGGATGACTTACTAGTTTCGGCGAGATTCTGAAATCTCATGCATGCTGCGCTATTCCATGATGGCCCGCGAGAGAATTCATGAATGGGAGTGGAGCGACACAACTGACGCAGGTAGGTCACGAGACCATGACAATTGGCGGATGTGGTACGTCTGAGTTTCATTCATACTTTTCACATTCATACTGTATAGAACATACTTTATTTTAACGGCCGAGTAGTACGTTTAAATTTAAGTGCAGTACCTACTGAGTACAAGGTGGTTTCGGACGAAGCCCTGAAATAGAAGGATTGCAGAGCAAACAGTCTTCTTCTCTTATGTGACAAGCAAGTGTCAGAAGATTTAGGTTCCACAGCGCCACCTTGTTTACCAGAGTATTTTTGTTTTTCCATTAAGCGCCATCTAATGTCAGGGAGGGATTTTGGTGATTCACTTTGTTTCTCACCAGTTAAAATTGCTTCGGTTTGACAGCCAAAAAAAAAATAAATATATATATATATATATAAAAAAATAAAATAAAAAATGCAAAAATGGTGCTGGTGTGTACAAGCCTTAAGTGATAAAGACAGGTGTGAATTGAAACAAGATATACATGCATGCGCTATTATTTGAAATTATAAGATAATGATTTGGCAAAAGCTGCGATTGTCATTCATATCTTGTGATGGAAACACTGCTCTGTGATCACCAGTAAATCTGCTCAGATTGGG